TGGGCCGGTGTGGTTCGTGTGTGGAGGCTTCAGGACGTGTCACCGAGTCACTTGCATTGGGGTCTGTGCTCAAGTTGCATCAGATTAGATAAAATTTTGCACCATCTAGCGCCTAAACCTTGGAACCCAGAACCCACAGCTGCGCGCCATCATCCCGCTCTATATCCTAGCCTGGACCTGTAGTCCGGCGCCATCCCGTACTTCAGATGACCCTGTCGCTACCTTGCGCACGATCTCGCCAGCCATCAGGGCAATGTCCTTGGCCAATGCACGTCCGCCCTCTGACTTTGAGGACACCAGCCACAGCCGGCAGCCCTCCGCGACGGCGCCACGCTTGAACTGCACTTCCTCCAGGCTTTCTCCCTTTGGCCGGCAGCCCAGGATGAGCGAATCAATGCCCTGGAATAATGCTGTGCTCGAAAGCGGACTTGCTGCAGTATCCCTGATGATGAAGTCGGACTGTGAACACGCGGCAGCAGCGTCCTTCCCGATGATGACGCGCAGTCTGAACTCGCCCTTGGACTGGACTAGCTTCTCGTACGCGCGCATGTAAATCGTCTGGATGAGCTCTGATGCTTCCGTGACGGAGGCTGGCTGCGCGCTAGTCGGTTTGGCCCAGATCGAGCAAAGTTGGGGTTGCGCCGGCTTCGTGTCGTCGAGAACCGTCAAAGGGGCCAGCGATTCGTCCTCTGTCACAACGGTAATGTTTCCCAGACGCGAGCACGTCAGGAGATCGTCCAGCACCTCGGCAGTCTTTTCGCCTGAGCCAACAAGAGACACGTTGAGCCGTGGCTCATTGGCTCCTCGCAGTTCGTTACGCCTGCTGGGGTACTCGTCCATGGAGATAATCCGCTGCCCGGATAGGAAGTCAACATTCGGTAATGGCTGCGCAGCCGGACTGCTCGCTCTCGATGGGGAGGGTGCGACAAGACTCCTCGCCCGCACCACGTATGTCTTGCCTGCGCTGTCCTTGACGGCCACCTTCCAGCTTTGCACAGCATCTGCCTCAACTCCGGGCGCTACACCAACGACTTCGCTGCCATAGCGGACTTCGTCTTTGAAGTGCTCGGCGGACCACCTCATGTAGTCTTCGAACTCTTCTCGTAAAGGGTTGAGACGATCCGAGTTTGAGAACTCGATGAGACGTTTACGAGCGAGCAGATAGTTGACATAGCTGAAAGCAGTCCTTGGGTTGCGTAGAGTCGCCAGGTCGTACATGAAGGGGCTCTCCATTCGCGTTCTCGAGATGTTGGATGTCGATCCCCATGAGAAGGATTTATTCTGCTCGACGAAAAGCATTTTGGACGGTGTCTTAGACTCGCGATTGGCGATGGCTGTGGCGAGTTGAGTTGCGCCAAAGCCAACGCAGACAAGGTCGTAGTATGGCGATGAGTCTGCCATAGGTGCGGCAGTCGTTGCGTCAATTGCTCTTCTCTCGGTCGAAGTCATAATGGAAGGATGTTTGGTTGATCTGGAGCAAGTATCGATTGTCGCCCTCTAGATTTGTACAGCAAGAAGGTGTTTCAGCGCTAAGAGATATAGTATCACAGCGACATAACTCGATTGCACAGCTCAGGCACAATTTGCAGACCCCGCGCACTGGCCATCATCAAGGTATACTGATGCCCACGCTCGAAACAACGATGTCACCAATGGCTAGCGTCGCCGGTACTCAATGCGCGATACATTTTCGTCCACTGACGCCGACCTGCATGGGTTTGTGGAAGCTAGACTCAGGCCCACATGGGGTGGATCAGCCACCAAATCGGAGCTTTCCTCACGCCACCTCTTGACCACAACCCTGTGACCAGATTTCCTTGCCGGAGAATGGGTAACAAATCCCTCTAAGCCTGCGTAATGCGGTGGGCTAAGCTATACCGGATATTAGGAACGACCTCGGTTAAACATTCACGCATCGTATTCTGAGCATCTTGAACGACTTCAAGCATCAGGGTTATAGCTTCTCGTACATTGCTGTCGCATGCTCAACTTTGTCTTCAGCTCCTTCTTCATCGTCCTCAATTATCATCTATCATTATGGCGCAGCAAGCAAAGCCGGATACCGCGAAAGAACCGCTCGTTCTCAAGCTTCCTCATCCATACCTTACGGCATACACTGTCGTGAATGTGGCACCAGAGGGCCAGCCTGCTAGCTACCAAGTCCAGCTATCTTCATCAAACACCACCAGCAAAGGCATCGCTCCACCCACAACCTTACATAACGGGACTGTCACATTCAGCGACGTCGCGACCTTGAGCCAAGATGCTGTTCCACCGATGGGAGATAACAGTTCTTGGGCTCGCACTCGACGATCTCCATACGTGACAGTTACGTGGACCCAAGATCGTCCATCTGTCCCGCAGCTCTGGCTCATCGCCTACGCGTTGGTCTCGCTGCACCCTCTAGTTGAGAACTTCCGCGTGCTATTGTCAGGGAAGGACTCTCAAGCACTAGCCCAAGAGCTATACGCCACTGGTTTGTTTCATTCGCATCCAAAGGGTTCCAACGCGTCGGCACCTCACGATGGCCATCTCCTCTTCCGCGGAACATTCTGGCAGGGCGCGGCATCTCCATTCGGTGCTCGACCAGTCTGGGCACCACATCTCGATGCCTCAGGAAAGCCGATCGATAGGCGGTATCCTCCCTTCCCGTTCCAGAATGCACCATCAACACAGTTTCCGGCGCTTCCACGGCATACTCAGCATCCAGTTCGGGAACCGAAACCTGAGCCGGGCTCGATCATCTATAGCCGATGGGTACCACATCTGAAGGAGCACTTCACGATGGTGGCTCTCGACTACACCAATGACGAGCATCTCCGCCTTTTCAACAAGTGGCAAAACGACCCACGTGTCGCTGCGGGATGGAACGAAACCGGTACCCTGGATCAGCACCGTGAATACCTCCGAAAGCTGCATGAGGACCCCCACGTCCTCACCATGTTCGCTGCCTTCGACGACATACTATTCGCGTACTTTGAAGTTTATTGGGCGATGGTAAGTCAAGATCTCGTTCGATCCATTGTAGCATTGAACTAATACATGTCACAGGAGGATCACATGGGCGCCCACTACCAATCCTCGCCCTATGACCGCGGAAGGCACTCACTCGTCGGAGACGTCCGGTTCAGAGGACCGTATCGTGTCTCAGCGTGGTGGTCTGGCCTAATGCACTACATGTTCCTCGATGAGCCGCGCACCTGGAACTTGGTCGGTGAGCCCGCCGCAACGAGTAGCACGGTGCTAGCATACGACTTCGCCCACGGCTTCCACGTTGAGAAGCTCATGGATCTTCCTCACAAGCGCAGTGCGCTGATGATGGTCAACCGCGAGAAGTTCTTCACGTTGAGCCCATTCACCTGGGACGGGGAGAAGAAGGTTCGCCCAAGCCTGGATGCAGGCGCGAAAGCGAAATTGTGATTTGGCATTATGCGCTCCTTTCTCGATACCATGTAGCTATACCGCTTTCCATTAATGTAAAATGTGCCCATGTTCAGTTTCCGACTCAATGCGTGAGCCATTTCCCTTTCCGAACACGTCGGAACTAGCTTCCGCGCCCAAGTACCGCATCCCGGGTTTCGCCTGGAGACGGCTGCAACATTTGTGTTATGCATTAGACAGCTTCCGCAACGCGTTCACAAGCAAAATTACAACAACTACAATTCTCCCGGCTATTCGTATATCCCACGCTAACCCATGGCACGCACGTCACATATGACATGACCTCACCTCCGCTCCATCCAATGAACGTCGGTCTGCACCCCGGCCTCCTCGCTGCAGCATGCGGATCTGATAATTAGCCGCAATGTTTTTATCTGATCCGTCGGTGCATGGCGCCCAAGCCAGTGCGCACCGCCAGTGGACGGCGGCATACGCCTACATGGATGTCTTCGACCGCATTTTCACGCGCGCTCGGATGACGGTCACTACTATGTGGAGATGTGGTGTGGATGCAACACGTAACGGTACTGCAGCGACATGACAGGACAGGCCCCCGCGGGTTACAATCTCGAACTGGTAGATCGCTACGCCGATGGTGGATGTGGATGTGGATGAAAAAAATTATCAGATGCACCGGCATGACACCTGGGCGCCTGATGGGGCAGGCCAGTAAATTATCTGATCCGCTGGAGGTTATTGCCCAGCCGGATACAAGGCGATAGAGCATCCTTCCCACTCTCCACACCTGCATCCAACGCCCCATCCCATGCCGGACGCCTTACTCGTACTTTCCATCTGATAAAAATTTCTTTTGATCTGATAAAACTTTGCTCTGCATCAATGCGCCTTTTACGAGGTGGAGGAGGCCCACCGATGTCGCAGCTGCTGTACAGTAGGTGGTCCGTTTAATCTTATCAGATCAAGATCGAGCGCCCGACCCCTGTCAGTCTACTACCCCGACAATGGTGGCTTCGCCGCTTGCTGTCCTCGGTCCCAACATGCAATGGGAACGAACTACACTCACGGGGGCGATGCGACTTGAGCGTCGATCTTTGCCTGGTGCGAGGAAGGAAAATTCTGCCCATCACTTGATGGTGCCTTGTTAGCCTGGCTGCGGCGTTGCGTCCGGAAGGAGCAGGGCTGAGCGAGAGGCCGGCGATGGCGTGGGTAGTCGATCGAAACGTGAGTGATGGCCCACAGACGCGTCGTTTCGAGGGCTCCGGAGACGGCGAGTTGGGAGGGCGAGATGGGTTGCCCTGTTTGTGCTCTTAGATCCGAGCCATCGGCGAAGCACCGTCATTGAGCTGTTGTTATCGCTGGATGCTATGGCTGAAGTTACTACCGACAAAGTTCATCGTCGAGTGATTGATTGCCTTTGGGTGTTGTTGTATACTATTGCTTCTTTATTGTTTTCTTTCTACGCCTTCCATCAGCTTAGTCGCCAGCTTATACCCACCGTCGCGAACTCTTAGTTTTGAGGTAGCATTCGGATCGCTTTCCGCATTCGACCACAGTACTTCGAGACACTGCCAGTGAGGGAGCGACATACACACATCGAAATGGGGGAGATATACGACCAATCGCGGAATGACGCATTACAACGTCTGAACCAAACTCTGCTTCAAATCGACCCTTACATCCTACCTCCATATCCCAACCTCTCCATTGTCGCAGGACCATTGGACCCACCACTACTTCAACTAACACTATCGCAACTGCTCCAGCGGCAGGTCGAGTGCTACCCGGACAATGAAGCCGTCGTCATTCCCTGGACAGGTGCGCGGTGGACGTACAAGAAGCTATGGGAGGAGTCAAGTTTGCTCGCAAGAGCACTACTGAAAGAGGGAGTGCGGCCGAGAGATAGAATAGGAATCATGAGCGGGAACTGCGAGAAGTACATTGCGCTCTTCTTTGCGTGTGCGAGAGTAGGCGGCATCTGCGTTACCCTCAACAATACGTATACGGCGACGGAGATGGAGTATGCGCTGAAGCACACCAGTAAGTTGACTTGACGTATGACATGGAAGAAAGACTGACCATGGTAGAATGCAGAATACTGTTTACTACACCTACGATCGCGCGATTCGACAATGGGCCGTTGCTTGAGAAGCTCAGTCAAGACGATATCAGCTCCACACTACCAGACCTCAAGACCGTGTGCCTGATACGCGGTCAACACGACAGCTTCATCTCCTACTCTTCCCTTATCGAAGAAGCCCAATACATTCCCGAGCATATCCTAGACATCTTCGACGGCATAATAAGTCCCTACGATGTCGTAAACCTGCAGTTCACGAGCGGTAGTACTGGCAACCCGAAGGCTGCCATGTTGACACACCAGTAAGTGTTACCATATTATCTCAGATGGCCCTTTACTGATGTATACAGCAACCTCATCAACAACTCCCGCTTCATCGGCGACCGCATGGATCTCACACCGAACGACACCCTCTGCTGCCCACCACCTCTCTTCCACTGCTTCGGTCTCACCCTCGGTCTCCTCGCCTGCCTCACACACGGGGCGAAGATTGTCTTCCCAGCCGAACAATTTGATCCAGTTGCCTGTATGCAGGCTATCGACGCGGAGCGCTGCACAGCCTTACACGGTGTACCAGCTATGATGGAATCTATAATGGACGTGCCACGGCCGGAAGGCTGGACGAGCGATCTGAGGACAGGCATCGTGGCGGGAAGTCCGGTGCCGAAGTGGTTGATGGAGCGCATGGTCAACGAGCTTAACATGTCGGACTTCACGTCTTCGTATGGGCTCACCGAGGCTAGCCCGACGGTGTTCAACGCACACACAACTGACTCGCTGCATGCGCGGTTGACTACTGTCGGAACGGTGCTGCCACACGCGCGCGTCAAGATCGTCGACCATCAGGATCGCGTCGTGCCCATCGGCGTCAGAGGCGAACTCTGCGTCGCTGGATACCAAGTCTGCCGCGGATACTGGGAGAATGCTGAGAAGACGGCGGAGCTCATCGTTCGCGACGAGTATGGCGAGCCTTGGCTTCATACTGGTGATGAGGCGGTTCTAGATGTGGATGGATACTGCACCATCACCGGGCGGTTCAAGGATATCATCATTCGAGGTATGTGTCTCCCTTCCGACAGCATAACCCTTGAGACCTGCGTACTGATGAGATGTTAGGAGGCGAAAACATCTACCCCCTCGAAATCGAGGAACGTCTCGTCGCACACCCATCCATTGCCCGCGCGATCGTCGTGGGCGTCTCGCACCCTCGCTACGTCGAAGTGCCCGCTGCCTTCCTCCTACACGAGCCCAACACGGATAAGCCAGACTTGGCTGAGGTGCAGGGCTGGGTGCGGAAGGTGCTGGGCAGGCACAAGGCGCCTATGCATATCTTCTGGTTGGGAGAGGACTGCGATTCCGAGGTGCCGTTGACGGGTAGTGGTAAGATCAAGAAGTTTGTGTTGAAGGATGTTGCGGAGGGTTTGTTGAAGCCCGCGGAGGGGAGGTAAGCACTGTGTCACGTGCCGACGTGCCGCGGATGAAATTTAGCGTGTTGCGGTTTCGCGCAAACATCACTGTTCTTATCGCGACTTCATCATCGTCTTTGCGCAATTACTTCTCTTTAGCTGTACACACCTTACCGACTTTCTGAATTATTTCATACCTCTTGCTCAGACTCTTTCCCCCGCTGACAGTCGTTCCTGTCGTCCACAACTTGACGCTCCACGGAGTCGCACAATTGACGTCATGTCGTCGTCAAAGCTACACCATTGCCAATGCTTTGTTTTGGCTCACGCGACGCACTGGACCAATGATGCACCAGCTATTACATGAACCCGTCATGATAATTGACAGTTTAGGCATATACAACACTATGTACCTCCACGTGCAGCTCCTACGCTCCCTCCACCTGCCGTTAAGACATGTCGCTGTCTGCCCCTCGTCTCTTCCGTATCTCTCTCCTACGAAACACCGCACGAGTATCCTCCATACGTCTAGCTTCATATAGCAGACTCGCGCCCCGCCTACAGCAAACACCGAAATACGCTTTCGCAGGACAACGAGCGAATATGGCGACCGTGAGCGGCGATGCGCCAGTAGCCACGGCCAAGACTTCGAGCCCACAACACTTCATGTGCACGAGCGGAGAGACGGACCCTGTCTGGATTCACCACTTGCCGTACAAGAGCATCCCCAAGTTCCCCAAGCTTGACAAGGACCTCGAGACGGACGTCTGCATTGTCGGCGCCGGCATCTCCGGTGTCTCAGTTGCTTATGAGCTCGTCACTCGTGGCCTGAACGTCGTCTTGATCGAAGGCCGAGAGGTACTTTCAGGTGAAACTGGACGTACCAGCGGTCATCTCGCCAACGACCTAGACGACGGCTACACTGCGATTGCGAAGAAGCACGGGGACAAGGGCGCAAAGGCGGCCGCCGAATCACATACCTGGGCGCTCAACCGCGTCGGCGAGATCTCCAAGCAGCTGGGCATTGAGTGCGAGTACCGCCATCTTCCCGGCTACGACTTCTCGCAATACCCCAAAGACTCAAAGGACCATGCGAGCGACATCAAGACTCTCATCGAAGACGGCGACAAGGCGAAGGCGCTCGGTATCCCCACGGAATACAAGGAGGGTTTCAAGCTCAAGGGATGGGAAGGCAGCATTGATCAAAGCGATGCCGTCATATACCCACAGCAGGCGACGTTCCATCCCACCAAGTACGTTGTTGGTGTGCTCGATTTTCTCAAGCAGCAGTCCAACTTCTCGTGCTACACCAACACTCGATGCATCGACGTGCAGGAGAAGGGCGTAGAGATCATGGGCATGGGCCACAAAGATGTCTACGTCAAGACAGCCGACGGAAACACCATCAAGTGTGCTGATGCCGTCGAGGCTACTTGTGTCCCGCTTCAGAAGCTCTCTGTCATTGCCGAGGAGGAGTACTTCCGCACCTACTGCATTGCTATTCGCGTACCCAAGGGTTCAGTCGAAGACGCCCTAATCTACGATTCGGCCGAAATCTACAAGTACATACGTCTCACCGAGTGTGACGAGAAGGATGACTACATGGTCGTGGGTGGAGGTGACCACAAAGTTGGCCAAGCCGACACCGTCGCACCCTTCAAGGAGCTTGAAGAATGGACACGCGCCCGCTTCCCACAAGCAACCACAATCGATTACAAGTGGAGTGGTCAGGTCTTCGAGCCCGTCGACCACATGGCGTTCATCGGCAAGAACCAAGGAAACAAGCACATCTACATCATCACCGGTGATTCTGGCAACGGTCTGACTCACGGCGTCCTCGCCGGAAAGCTTATCGCAGACTCGATCACTGAGCAACCCAATTCCTGGATCGCCGCCTACGACCCCAAGCGTCTAGCTTCCATCGCAAAGTCCGCAACCAGCATGATCAGCCACGACCTCCAGATCAACGCCCAGTACAAGCGCTTCGCTCAGTCGGATATCAAAGACATCGAAGACCTCGTACCCGGTGAGGGCGGTGTTCTCAACACCAACCCCACTAACCCGCTCGCTGTGTACAAGGATGAGGGTGGCCAGGTTCATAAGTTCTCCGCGCTTTGCCCGCACCTGAAGGGCGTGGTCTGCTGGAATACGACTGAGAAGAGTTGGGATTGCCCGGTTCATGGGAGCAGGTTTAGTAAGGATGGTGTGCAGCTGTGTGGGCCGGCGAAGATGGGTCTTGGGCCTGCGAATGAGAGTGGTGAGAAGATGCAGCAGCAGGCTATTAAGGGCTGAGTGTTTGATGCGATTAGTCTCAGGCGGCGAGTACGGTAAAGTTACTTTATGAATGGAAAAACATATTTCAAAGTATCATCACGCTGTTGCGTCATGGTGTCATTGGTGTAGACTGATTTAAATCTGAGCACAACCACAGGTCATGCAGAACGCTCTTTGTGTCAAACCTCTGTAGAGAAGCTTTTGGCTTAGGAGAAGACAGCAAGCCACTCTAATTGCCTGGCAAACATGCACCTGCCTCTTACCATCATGACAGAAAATATCACATCCTCTTTCACTGCCCTTTCACGCTCACCTCCACCCATTCCCCCACAATCACTCACGTCATACCAATAACAACGCGCACTCTCACTTACACACAACATCCCATATACTCAAAACATTCTATACGAATCTTACCTACCGTCGCCAATCACCACCTCCACACTCGCTCGCTCGCTCGCTCCTGTAGTCCACTCCTTCCGCGCACCCAAAATGGCAACACCAAACCGCAACCGCGGCCGCAGCTTCCAACGCGTCGACCGCGCGCAAAGCATACTCTCCGACTCCCAAGCCTCCTTCCACACACCGCGTCCCACACCCCCACCGCCACCTACACGCAGCGGCCGCGGCGTACGCGCCAACAGCACCGTCAGCGACGCGCCCTCGCTGCTCGAACAAGACACACCCGGAAGGTCCGCGAGGAAAGATGCAGCAGCCGCAAAATTATCCGCACACTACCACTTCGCGCCCACAGTCCCGAATCCGTTTGCAGGGACGCTGGAGGCGAGTTTGGACGCGATACAAGCCTGGGGCCGGATTCACAGCAACCTTGGGATAAAAGGGTTGCATCCGCTCATGGACACTTTACTCCGGCCAGTGGATAACAAAACAGACTGGCCGGCTCTATTCAGCGCGCTTGAAGATAGGCCCGCAGGTCGTTTCCGGTATCTGTGTGAGGAGGTACTTTTCCTTGTCACGCGGACGTTGTTGCCGGAGGGGATTGTGCAGAACAGGGCGCTTATGGCTAGGCTTTATGATAAGAAGAAACAGCTTGCTATGCGGTTGGTGCTACGGTATGATATGTTGAGGGAGTGGAAGATGAAGCATGGGGCGACGGGTCGCGAGATGCCTGTTGCGGTTGCTTCGGTGCCGCCGATGGGAGTACCGGCGCCGGATCCGGTTCCCGTGAGCTTCCCTGCGAAGTTTCCGCATAGGAAGGCGCGGCTGCCTAATATCATTGCGACGGTGATTGCGGCGCCGGCGGGAGGGTATGGGACGCATGGTGTGATAGCGAGGATGAAGCATCATGTTACGGCTTTGGATGACTATCTCTTGTTGAGCGATGAAGAGGTGGTGGGGCTGAGTGGTATCGCGCTGCTGGAGAGGGTGTGGCAGGTTCTACTGCATTGGCAGTGGTTGAGGCAGAACAATGAGATCCTGGAGGAGATGGAGGTGCATGGGTGGGAGGAGCTGGAGGGCAAGGCGGATGAGTCGGAGTGGATTGCTGATGATGTGAAGAAGAGTGCGCAACCTGGGAGTAAGAGAATGAGAGAGAAGGAAGATGAGTAAGGGTCGAGAATTGCAGGTGATTGCAGGCTGAGAGCTATGAGTAGGGAAGCTGCTGCCAGGAAGACTTGCAGATAAAGAGGTGCGCTGCGCACTACAAAGCGCCTAGTCGATGGACGCTGCTGTTCTTGCTCCAGCGACGGAACGTCTTGCCTTTCCACCAAAAGAGAATACCAAACGAGCACCAGAGCGTAACAAGAGCTGCGTTTGTCATAATGGGCGAGATAAATCTACTACAGTTAGCAATGCTCTTTCAAGATCAGATTTACGCGTCTTACCCAACCTCTTCACTCCACGGTGTGATGAATTTGCCAAACCCATAGCCCCAAAGATTCTTGTTGACGGTGATGGCGACGAATAACGAGCCTGCAACGGGCTTGTACGAGTCAACAGCATATGTACTGACGATACCAGGTAGCGCTGCAACCTGTATACCAGCGCATGTGTAGCCGATGATGATGATAGCTTCCCAAGGCCACTTGCGCTCATAGCCTATCGCGACGACGATGTTACCAATAAACATGATGATGACATATGGTATCATAGCTGGTAACCGCATCTCCGGTTCACGAATACCATTGTTCTTCCTGGTGCTCCTTGCAGACACCCAATCGCTGAGTGGGCCAGCAGTGAAAAGTCCGATGAATGCACCCAGCATGATAGCGAAGTTGGTAAAGCCAACAGTCATAGGCTTCATGTTGTAGGGAGGTAGGGCGAGGACTTGGCTTTGTGTAAGGTTGATGGTGAGGAAGCTGGAGCATGACCAACTGACGACGAAAGCGGCGAACTCGACAATGGGGAAGGCGAATAGCTTCCAGGGAATCCAAAGGTCGAGGAAGATGGAACGGAACGGGTGGGCGTTTGGTTGGAAGATCTTCCACTGCCATTTGCCAGGTTTGCCGCGGCCAAGGAAGGGGTCTCGTTGAGCTGTCTCGGACATCTCTAGGCCGGCCGTGTTTGGCAAGACGGAGTTAGCTGTGTTGATGTGCTGGATTGGATTTGTCTCTTTCTCGCTGTCGGAGTGGTTAATATCTTCCTGGGTAGTCGCTCGTGTCTTCTCTTCTAGTGAACTGGGTTTCTTTTGTCCCAAATGCTCGGGCAACGCGCGCTTGAACCTTGTTTCTGGGAACATAAAGACCACCATCAAGAAGGAAAGGCCGAGGATGCCAGTATTGAGCCACCAGAAGCTGCGCCAGCCGACCGTCTCGGTCATTGATCCAGACACGATGGGACCGACCATCAGCGAGCCCATGTAGACTACCCAGTAAAGAGTGTTCCACTTCCCACGGTCGTGCAAGAAGAAGATGTCGGCGATGATCTCGGGCATGATGGTCTCGGCCGGTCCAGCACCAATGCCATTGAGGATGCACGCGCCCATGAACGAGTTGTAGGAGTTGGCCTTGGCGCGCCATATCGAGGTACCGAAGTTGATGAGTTGGGATGCGAGATACACCGGGCGACGACCGAACGATGTGCTGATTGGAACCCTAGCATTACTAATTAGTCTTTGGCCCCTGTATCATGGTCTGATGGTACTTACCAGATGAAGTTGCTAAATCCCAGTACCAAGATGCAAACACCAGTGAATTGGACTGCACCCGCCAGATCGGTATTGAAAGCTTCTATCAGTGCCGGAAACATTGGTGCTAGAGCCAATGGACCAAACCCTTGCGTGAACGTGGCCATTGATGCCGAGATGATGCATGCCATCTTCCAACCGGTACTCCAATTGAGAGGATCGTTGGGATCATCGCTGGGTTGTGGAACGAGGACTTGGCGATGCGCTCCTTTGACGAAATGGTGTGAGCCTACATCTGCCATGACCTCCGTGCCGGGAAGGATTTCTGTGTGAAGCTCGGCTTCGAGCTGCCGGCGTTCCTGAATTTCTTAGCACTGGGCGGTATCAATCATCTTGAAAACTTACATCTTCGTTATAGTCGTGTGCCTCCATCGTGATCAGAGCAACTGGTGTGTGAGAGGCTATGGTTGTGCTCAGACCAAGGATGCAGCGAGGTACTTGTATCGCTTGCTGTACGAAAAGGCGCACCTCGCGGGCCTATTCTGACTCAATCTGGAATGTCGGTGCTATTGCGATTCGACTTCGAAAACCAGCCGGAGTGCAAGTCAGACGTGGCTTGCCATAGAGCGCGTGAAGATGTCGGCAGGATAGCACCGTGAGCACCTCTCGTGATCCGGCAATTGTAGTCGGAGCAGAATCCAAGACAAAAGGTTACTAAAATGTGTAGACAACGGCCGGCCGATCCTCCGCTGAGCGTCTGGCTACTTATCGCCCAGCCTGGTTTCCAACAGCCAGGTTCTCCGCATCTTCCGCACGTGAAGGGCCTGCGTGCCGTCTCATCGTTCATAGCACATCATCTACGGCACATATTGGCGCGCGCTGTCCAGTCATGAGCCTTGAGCACGTATTAGCCTCTGTTTAGCCCCGGTACGTCGACACATACCCATGTTCGCAGCGTTGTAATCTCGACCCAGGTTCCGGGATCGAGCGGCAGCGGATGAAGTGGGCGGCAAATGTCTCTCGAGCACGCTCAGCCACGCTGCGCGAGTTCACGCGAGGGTCAAGCTGACCGCACGGGAATTTGATCGAAAGAGTGATGGTTTGGTGATCGTGAGTGAGGTTTGACGACTTGTGTAACTGCCGAGCCACGCTACTTCGCGCTACGTCACTAGTGCGATGCGGGGAAAATAAGGGGAAGCCGCCACGAGAAGACTAGAACGCCGAGCTTACGACACCAACATTGACAGTCCAGCGTCACGATATCCCGCATGTCAATACGCCTCTCGACGGTATTTTGCTGCTGGTCTCTTCAGACCATCTAGGCTACAGCACAACCAGGTTGCTGCGTCTTCATACCGTGCGCGTCATAGCCTTATTTCCCATCGTCCTTTAACGTCTCTCATTCCAAAGCTCCCACGAGTCTCAATCTTCGCATACGAACCGATCGTGTACTTTGGGATCGTAATCCAAATAGCCTGCATACGGTTGCCATGAGAACTCGAAATTGGCTTTCTTGCCGAGGGGAGGTGGACCGAATTCCTTCCACCAGTGGCATGGCCGCTTGCAGACGCATGCAGGAGGGCTGGTAAGGGATAGTCAAAACACGTGCTAGCAGCAGCAGCACAACGACAGAGCAATGAAGGTGACTTACAAAGGTCGCTGTAAGTAATCTGATATGATAACTTGTCTCTCGACGGAAAGATCATGGAGCGTACCATTGCGCTCATCGTACAGGATTGCCTCCCACTTGGTACGCGTGCTATGCTTCACATGTCCCGACATAGACACAGATGGAATACCTCGAAGAGCCTCCAGCGCGAGAGTGAAGAACCAATCCAAGAGAGTCTTTTGACAGGAGATCAGGTTGGCGCGATAGTCCCGTAGCGAGGGAGTCCAAGGGTCTTGAGAGATGAAGCGACCTCGATTAGCCACCTTATGTATCCGCAAGGGTGTAGGTACTTGAAAATGGAGATGAAGATGGGCTAGCGTCGGGATGTTTCTAAGGACGTGGATCGGAGGCCCATCGGGTGACACCATGAGGCGCTGGTCGCTGAACCCTAGGAACATGAAGTAAATAGAATTGGGAAAACCAAGGGAGATGCGACGGAGCCATTTGCCTTGGAAAGGATCAATAGCGTCCGTGAGCGTCCAGAGATCACCAAAATGCGGAACCGTCGACGTCGTGACAAAGTTACGGATCTCCGCTCTCACCTGCTTACACACAAATTGTATGGGCATATTCCCAGGACTTGTGTTTCCTGCCGGGTCGAAGGTGTACTGAGTGGTACGAGCGAAGGTCCGCCAACGCTCACTATACATTTTGTAGTGTGGATAGCCGAAGACTCTCAAGGTAGCCTTTGGCGGGTTTCGACTACGGTCCCACTCCTCACGTGGCCATAGGTAGTACCCGATGATGTGTCCGTATATCATCGAGCGAAGTTCGAAAGGCAAGTTCAATAATCTAAAGGCTCGCCCATTCGCCTGCCACCAGCATTGCTGGTCGTTGTCGAAGGCACGTGGGGGTAGTGTCGCGAGCTTTCCCTTGAGCCAGTGCTCGAAAGAATTCCATTGATCTGAGAGCCCAATCTCGAGGTCGCTCAATAGGCTTGCTACTGGACCGCATGTAAGAACCAAAGAAGGTCGTCGGCGTATATGTAGCTTGTTTGTCATGCCAGCTTCTTCAGAACTATGGAGCGCGAAGAAGGACCCGTCTTGAAGCGACTCCAAGGACATGTCGGCGATCGGGGTCCTCCTCCATACATCGAAGTCAATCTTGCGCAACTCGAGGAGACGGTCCTGTAAGATACGGTAGTCAACGAGCTGAGAGTCGTGTCAGCCTAGTATTCGAGTAACGTTCACGTCGCACGTACAAGCCCTGTCTCCTTGCTAAAGCCCTTAGTTTTGCACCGAACCTCAACCCAATTACGTAGAGGACGCCAGGTACGGCGCTCGCGGACCTGGACACATGCTAGAGAAGATACGTCTGCGATGTCTGACTTGTTCGACAACGATAGATCATAGCGTATCTTGACGTGAGGGGTTCTTGGGCTTGTGCCGACGAAGCTATAGTAGCCGGAAGAAACTTGTTGGATCTTTCGCGGAGACACCTTGAACCCGACCGTTTTCGCGTGGAACCTGGCGCATCCGCGGCGCTTCTCGGCAATGTACTCGTTGATCGTGACCGAGATCAAGTCCTTGAATCGTCAGTATTGCCATACATTAACCTTGTATGAGACGAACTTACTGCTTCTTCGACCGCATTTGAAGCTTCCTGGCGACTCGAGTGTTGTGACATTTTGCCGCTGGGTCTAGGGGTTGAGTACAAAGCGACTGATCATTGTTTGAGAAGCAGTGTTACGGACAGCGGTTTTATACGCGGGCGCAACGAAAGGAGGAGTGTGTGGCCCTTAGGCAGCAATCTGCGTGAAAGATTATGGTCTTCCTCTAAGTCAGTGTGTCAAAGCTTACTCGGGACCCAACAAAGGTAAATTTGGGATAGAAGCCGGAAACTTGTGATTGCTTATCGGCGAGATGATCGTATGTTCCATAAAGCGCGTTGCGAGATTACGATTTGTCGGCTGCGAGTAAGACATATAGGCAGGACATCTACATCGCATTCGTATTGTCTTAACGTGTTCATTCAAAGATATTGTAGGCTACATAGTAGACGATGGTCTACCTGCGCCAGGGCCAGACTCGGTCCAAAGCTCCGTACCTATCACATGCTGTCATAGGTATCATGACTTCTCAGTACCAGGAAGACTTCACAGTCGCACCCTCTCCTTCCTCAGCTAGGACACCTGTTGCACCACCGGCGGGAATTCGTGGAGCGAAATCGTCAGGTACCCAAATCACAGGCCCGAAACTCACCCCATGAAACTTTCTCATGCTGCAGGAGTCGAGTTCGTCACTGAGACACTTCGTATCCTGACAGACATGTCCATACATGCAGTCTGCACGATGGCAACCACTGCCCATCGCGCAAGGGTTCCTCTTTGTCATGTATCTAACCACCTTGCAGATTTGGCTACTGATTTGAGAGTGATCGAAGGAACAATTGCTACCAAAGCGGCATTTTCCTTTCCCGAGATGGAACGACCTGCAAGGCGGGGCGCCACTTCCGAATTTCTCTGCGTATGCTTGTCTATCGGCGGGAGAAGGAAGCTCCATATGGTAGTCTAGACGATGTCCAGTTTCGTTGACGGGTACATGGCCACGTTTTGCGTCTTGACGATACGGAAGTCGAGCTTTTTGACGATGCGCATCCGTGGTATCGTTCGACACAATAGGTTCAATGTCGCAAATGTAGTGAGTGTCGAGGTATGAGAGACCGTGTGACTCGTCTTTGCAAGGAACCTCAACACTGATCAGTTTCTCTATGAAGCGCTTGCGCATAGAGTGCGATGTGAGTGAAGCTAACGGGTCTTTCCTGCGGGCTTTTCGAAGATTTTCGGGATGCTGATAGAATCGCACGGCAGAGGAACGAACACGGCCCCTGCGCCCATCCCGTTTCCCTCGATTAGCGTGACTTTCTTGGAAGATGTGCGCAGCATCGCGAGGTATACGGGTCGTCTCCAAGCAGCGAGGAAGATGTGCTTGCAATTTGAATCGTATCGAGCTGTTTCAAAGGCATCTAATATGGTTAGGAAAGACAGTCCGAGATGTTCAAGTGTCACTCACTAGAGACTTTGAGCTCTACCGTAGTTTCGTCTTGAACGCCGATGAAGTCGAAGTCGGCGTCAATCGAGGAGAATTGAACAGCAAATTGCTGAAGCGGGCGAAGTAGATCATTCTCTAACTTGGCCGAGTCGGCATATAGGCGCACAACCAGTCGAGACGCCCCGAGGGCTGCAACTGCGGATATCCCGATCAAGTAATTCTTAATCGCTTTGTGAAGACGACTCCTGATTTTGAATGGCTTGACTCTTTCGAACTCGGAGTAGATGTGCTCGGAGGATTCGTGGTAGACGTCGTTACAGAACTGAGTGTAGAGTTAGCAGTTGATGATGTAAAAGTGCTCGTCATGTTGAGATGTACTCCAACACTCCAACACGTCCTAGACGGCTACATTATCATCTCCTTCTTTATCTTGCAACGTAGATCGTCGCGTATCCATCTGACTTAGGCTCTGGATAATAGGTACAGGGGAACAGCTTACCGGATGACTATGCGCATCAATCAGCACCAGTACGTGAGCATCGCCGCGTGAGTGGAACTTGGTGACAGTCTGTTCCAACTCCACCGCAGCCTCTTGGAGCGACGTCTTAGACCTTTCGCCAGGATCTTCGTGGGTCGATATGCTATCAGCGAGACTACGCAGTCGCGCCGCCAGCTCAGCGACCTTCTCGGGGCTCGCCATGTTGTTGAGAAGATGAGAGAGAAGCCTCTGGGGCTGGAAATCTCTGTATGGGCGTCTCTGAGATCCCTGTCAAAGCGCGTCGCTCTTCATGTTCACCTTTCACCGCGCCAAGGCGGTGAGCGTGCGGCGATCGACCGATTAGGAAGTCAACATAACAGACGCGACAAAGACGCTCGAATAGATCGCAGTCGAAAGCGGTAGAAGCAGATGGAAGCAATGGTAAAGAGAAGTAACGCAAGAAGTGGACCTGTCGACCACACGTGAGACTGTATAGCAAGTATCAAAGAACTATTGAAGGTCAATGGTGGTCGAAGACAAGGCCTTAAAGGCCGTAGTACTACTTCGGAAGCACTGCATATCTTGACGCAGTGCCCATGCCATCTCCAGTACCAAGACCTAAGAATCGGCCGTCCCAGCTGAGCAGCTTCTCTTCGCATGCTTGATTTGAATGTCTCTTTCTCCCTTTCTGGACAAAACGAATAGCTTTCCAGCAAGCATATGCGATCAAGCACCGTTACCGGCTCGTGGACCCTGGGAGTGTCTGCGTCTACCAAGTGGGCAGCATGGCGAGAGAGAATGGTCCTTAAAGATTTCCATAAAATGCAACGAGATGTCGTGAGGACGTATTTGTTGAAGCGCAACGGAGAGAACTACCCGCACGGTCGGTATCACTAGCGCTCTAAGATGACGATCAACGACGTCATCACCCTTTCCTTTTCCCACAATCCCAGCCACACCGATCCGCGTGGCTGTTCCTGTTTCACCATCCACATCAACAATATTAGAGTACCCTCTCTAATATTATACTAGACTCTTCGCGCCACGCTTCGATATACTCGCATCAGTCTGCCCGCGTGGGCGGAATATCTGCCCCAGCTCCTCTAGGCCAGCGTAGCACGCTCTTGTGGCGAGAGCAGCCACCTGCTCACTACGCGCGAGTACACACACCAATAACGATTGCCAATTCGTTTGCGATCATCCTACAATTTTTCGGAAGCAATACAACTGCCCAGTGTCACTGCTAAGTAGCCCTTGAACGTCTCGCTACGCCGTTTGATGTTATCGGAGTCGACATCGGCTCTGCTGTGTTGCGAGAGGCGCTGCTTCAACAGACCCAGAACAGTCAAAGGCTATAAGAAAGCTGATAGAACAAACATCCCGTTCAAGATACTGCTTGGTCCAGTTTTTGCGAGATTACCGGTGGTCAGCGTGCGCGCCTCATTTTATTGTGGTCTAGTGCCTATGAAACCATCATCCAGGAAGAACGTCTCATTTCACCATCTGGAGCACTTTCACCCACTTTGGTCCCTTTCGGTCTAACGCAACCATTGCGGATCTCTGCATCGATAATACTCGTGTAGGGGCTGTCAGGCCGAGCGGCGTCTGCCTGCAGAACGTCTCCTACGCTCAAGTGCGCACACAAGAATGTGGCTGAGTTGGCCGTGTGGAGTAAGCTCGCGGTACCGGAACCCTCGAGAACGAATATCACGCGCAGATTCTTGTCCGCAGCGACTTGTCCAAAATACTGAGCCATTCGGCATGGAGATACAAGGTTGCTTGTGTGTGTACTAGCCGAGATTGGCACACTAGGGCTTCATAGGTCAGCATGCAGTCAACCCCCCGGGGCACGCCCTTGAATGACTCCACATTTCGCGAACGCAGTCCATTCCATGCGTCATGTTGGCGCGGATGTCACCACTTCCGTAGTCAACTCCTTCCTTTCTTGAATAGCACTGACTATCCCTACTGCGCAACATGGATACCTACGATTCGACTGTCGGTACTGTGTCGCTTGGTATGGTGGTTATTGATGAGATCCACCTGCCAAAACGATCGCCTTTGATTGACGTAGCGGGGGGGCTCCGGAGCTTACTGTATGTATCTTACACGTGTGGCGCTTTTAGAACGCTGATAGACTTACGATAAACAGCAACGCTTGGGAGCCGCCTATTCAAGACCCCTGCGCGATCGAAGACGGTGGGCTGTCTGGCTCTTGTGGGCTACGACTTTCCCGATGCTGTGCGAGAGCAGCTACAGGCCTGGCGGACCACTCTGCACGAAAACGTCTCGCAGGACAGACTGAGCACCAGAGGGCTTCTTGAGTACGAAGATGATACCTTTGGACGTATGTGACTGCCTTGTTCCAGTGATAAACTTTTGAAGCTTATGATCACCTAGCGAAGAAGTTCCGCTATACTACGGAGCCGTTGAATCCATCACCAATCGATCTGGTAAACACGAATCTACTTGGATCGGAAGCATTCCATCTACTTGCACCGCCCGAGATTGTCGAAACACAGATACCAGAATTGATAAAGCTTCGCATGCAACACGGGTTCAAAAGCCGGCCATTCATAGTGTGGGAACCATTTCCAGCCGCTTGCACCAGCCAGAACCGAGCTTCATTCCTGAAAGCCTGCAGACTTGTGGATGTGTTTTCGCCCAATCACTTAGAAATGTCTACCATGTTCGAGGATTCACCCTGCGAAGGCTTTCAGCCTGGCCGACTGGAAACATATGCACTAGAGTTCAGCAAGGCAATCGGACCGAGCGGAAACGGAATCATTATTGTGAGAGCAGGTGAGCATGGTTCACTGACCACTCAACATGCAGCTAAGAGTGTATGGCTACCCCCATACTACGAACCATCGGCGGTCAAGGTTATCGACCCCACCGGTGGTGGCAACACGTATCTAGGCGGGTTTATTGCAGGCTGGAAAGCATCAGGAGATATTCATGAAGCATCTATGTACGGTAACGTGGCTGCAAGTTTTGCTATCGAGCAGATCGGTTTGCCTTCTTGTGAAGTGAGTGATGGTGAAGAGATATGGAACGGTACTCGGGTAATGGAGCGTCTTGCTGAGTACAGAGCACGGCTCAGCTCCACAGGAAAGAAATGAGAAGAATATACCACACAGGTAGAAGAAACCGTTGCAATGATCGACTCGACTGCGCGTTTGGGAGAGGTCCATCTAGATGACAAAGGTTTTGATCCTCCTTCGCTCTCCTCAAGAAAGCCTCCCAGCCTTCATTCCGTTACGACTGAACAGATTTGAGCTGAGACGAAGTTCTTACCGCTACCACCGACTACATCGCGTCATATTCCGGCTTTAACACATCCACGCACAAGTGAGGCTTCAGTCCGCGAACCCACGGCATCACGGAGAATGCTCCGCCGAACTCTACTCGCAACCTAGCGTACCAAACTGCATACTGACGCTACTGTCTAGATGCCGCTGTAGAACGGAGATGCCGCTTTAGATTGGAGATGCCGCTGTAGATTGGAAATACAGACTTCACCAACCCGTTCCCGAGAAGGGGATCCATGTAGCCGCGGGCTCAGCCCTGCCACCTCGTATCGAGCGCCTGTATAGCGTCTAGGATGGATTCAACAGCTCTTGGTGTGACGATTCGTAGCTCACGGAGGAATCCCGCAGCCTCATCACGATGCAAGGCATCCTTCCCCTTCGCCTGCGGTAGATTCGGATATCGCTCGTGATGCGGCTGACAAGACTTGGGAGATATGGGGCAATGAGGCAATACGAGGCTGTGGGCGTCCCGTCCTCGCTATCAGTAGCGCGCGGATAGGTAATCCCGAGCGAGCGATTTACCACCATCTTACAACGCAAGACTATCAGAAGCTTCAAGATGCAGGATTCGCCATTCGAGGGGCTCATGGAGCAACGCCGCCACCCTTCATACTGGGGAATGCTGGGTTCCTGTACATATGCTGTTGCGTATCGTGCAGGAGGCTGAGGAGGCTCAGTAAGTCACGCGCCAGGGTTCCCAAAGGATGATAGTTGGATCGTCAAGCATGAGGGGTTGGTGAAGGCTTTGCAGCCGTATGCCTAGATCTCTCCCAAGAAATCCTGACAGGACTAATGCACGCACACATGCAGAAGTCTCAGTTCCATGCGTCTCAGCTTTCCACTATAGGATCGCGATCATCAGCGCTCTATCACGTTTGAGAATCCCATTGGGTACCGATTGGGTACCAGAAAACGCTACCCCACCGTTGGAACGTGCATCTCCAGGGCTTGTTTTGTAATCTGACAGAACGGGACGCTAAAATCGCCGATCACTCCGCAACTTCCCACTCTTGCACGTTTGCCCTGCTGCTGCCACGACTACCAACGTCAAGAATACGTTTCCACGATACCTTTCAGGATGTCCGACACTCAAGTCTTGGGCTCGATTCCGCTTGTTATTGGTACGAACTGAAACGACGACATGGCGGCGCGCATTCCGGTTCGATACGGAGTCGAATACCGAATAAATAGAGGAATGCCTTTGCCGCTTTGTCTCCTCAGGCAGCTTTGTAAGTATTCAGGAGATATGTATATAAAAGTATGAGCTCGTGTCTGTTCGTCAGGATGACCACATTCGTATGTCTCTTCAGAACAACTTCTAGTAGCACGTCTACTCCACAAGACATCTACCCAAAAAGAGAGCAACACCATCTTTGTCATCATCACAGCTATTCCACTTTACAGTTTCTACCAGGACACATCTTTGATCCCAACCATGCCTTCGTTCCTAATGAGAACTTCACACGGTCTCATCAGCATCTACGACTCAAATCTCAAGAACGACCAGCCCGCCCTCCTTCTCCTACACGGCAACGCCTCATCCTCCAAACAGTTCCGCCATATCATCGAGTCGCCCACCATCAACAAGGGCTGGCGCATCGTTACTCTGGACCTCCCCGGCCACGGCTGCTCGTCCAATGCCCCTGATGTCAAGACAACGTACTGTCATCGTGGCTACGCCGACCTCGTTATACGTGTCTTGCAGCACCTCAGAATCGAGTCTGTGGTGCTCATGGGCTGGAGTCTGGGTGGTCACATCGCGATCGAAATGCTTCCTTGTCTCGCTCATGACGATCCTCCCATGGTGGAAGATGCACCTCGGATCAGCGTCAAAGGGCTCATGCTTATCGGTACCCCGCCCTCGCGTGGCGCCGAGCAGATGGCTCAAGCGTTCAAGATGCCGGCTGGTGGTCTTACCTTCGCGGGGAATAGAAATTGGGTCAATTTGGAGGCTGACCTTTACCTGAGACACGGTGTGGCAGCGGGCAAGGAAGAGTTCTATGAGAGGTGGATGTTGGAGGATGCGAAGCGGACGGATGGGCGCGCGACAGTCTTCATAGCTGATGCCGCGACTGGGACGAAGGATAGCCCGCCCAAGGGTTGCGATCAGAAGCGTGTGGTGGAGGCGACTGATGTGTTGATCGCGGTCGTGAACGGAATGGAAGATCAGTTTGTCAACCTGGATTATATCGATGAGGAGGTGAAGTGGAAAAGGCTCTGGAGGGGTGAGTGCTTGGGCTTATCTGGGCTCGGGCATGCGCCATTTTGGGAAGATGCGGCAGGGTTTGAGAAGGTGTTGGAGGAGTTTTTGGACGATTGTGAGGAGTGGGAGGGTTCGGATTGTGATTCTGCTGTAGGTATTTAGTCTACCATGTTCATAGTTTCTCTCCATGTACGCAAATCACTGATACCTAATGCATATGTAGTATCCACTACTGGTTCTTGTTGAATGTGCTGGTTCTATAACGCAGGCACGGCGCGGCTGAGTAACACCGTAGATAGTCGCAATGCAGGTGTATTTCCCAAACACCTTTGCTCACAGTATGTAGCAGGTAGTATCCGCTACAATCCCATCATAGTCGTGAGCATGTGCATTGGAACCGCCACATCGCATACTATAACGTACACTAATTGCTGACAACCATCTCGATACGAGGACATGTGATCGCAAGTTCGCTTCTGGCGAGGTTTGGATGGGGCGTAACTAGTCAGTGTCCATGGAAGCGCTAGGTCTACCATTCCGAAAGCTAGATCCCTGTACACGTCCCGCCTGATCTACGCATGTCTGATCTAATTCTTACGACCTAACAGGGCGTAGTCCCACTCCTCTTGATACTTTCGGAAGAAATCCCGCTCACCAATAAGGTGCTTGCCCATGAACGCCTCCCAATGCTCGCGCTTTTCCCCACCCTGAGTCATGGCCTCGAGCTCTCGCGCTCTCCGCATGCGAACCAACTTCTCCGCGGTCTGCTTCAGCATCTGTTGTGGGGCGACATATTCAAGTACACTCTTGTCGGGTTCTTCGCGATTCATATATATTTCGGTGGCCGTACGTATCGTTTCCAAGGTTCTACTATCTTTGAGGTAGAAGACCCCGTCTTCGCCTTTCCAGGGAACTATGACATGCTCCCACTCATCAGCTCTCATCTTTTCCAAGCCGTGTGTAACTTCGAGGCGTTTGTACCAACCACGTTCACCCTTAGCGATAGTTCGCATCACTTTGTGCCGGTTTTGGCCTTCCGTATATTTGATGAGAGTGTTTTTGAGCACGGCTGTTCTTTTCGCGTATCTTCTCAGGGTAGATAGACCGAACGGAATAATCGCCGCGAGAGACGTGTCGTCGGAGGCCGAACTGGTCTGACCAGCACCAATGGATAACAGAACGGCGGGCTCACTGTCGTCGCCCCAGAGCGAGGCGGCTTCGGAATAAGCACAAAAGCTGGGGTTGTTCTCAAGTATGCCGCCATCTTTGAGGGTTAAGCTACCATTAGGGCCCATTACTTCCAGCGGCTTGAAAAATAGGGGTGCGGCAGTAGTTGCTCGACCGGTCTGCCATGTGCGCAAGTCAGGAGGATCTTTGTTGTAAATGGGAACCCATGGCGGAAGCGTGTCAGGGTTGTAGTGATGATTGTACGTGCGCAAGAGAAATGTCTCGTGCTGTTGGCTTGAGGAGAGCGTTGTCAGGCATACACTGGATAGTATGTGGATCAGCTTTTTTCTCACGATCATAGTATCGATGCTGACTCACGTTTGGCAAAGCTGATATTCTGGGGTTTGAAGCTCATGAGCAAGGATCTTAGCCTCCTTGGGGGGTCGACCTCGCCGTATTTCTGGGCCATCCGAATCGTCCGAGCCATCTCCGTGACCTACATATATATCCGGCCCTGTTGAGCGCCACTTGAATAGTTCGTCATAATCGCACGAAGCTCGTTCGTGCTGTTTGCAGTGCTGTCGAACCATCACTCTGAGAGTAACCTCAAGATCCGAAGCACGATATCTGACAGCAAGAGGTGCCAATTTCCGAGGGTTTGCATACATTGCTTCTAGAATCGATTTGAAAGCAATTATCGTCTCTGGTACTGTCATACGAAGTCGACTCAGTGCAATGGCTAATATCCTGCCAGCGTTTGTTAGCAGATGTCGCTACTGATCGACCACTACTGGGTGCAACAAAAGCTTGCGCTGGTCGACCATCGCATAGGCAGCACTTACCCTCCCGTCGATGTGCCATACATCTTGTGAAAGTAATGACATGGACGGAAATCAGAAGCCTGAAAATTTCTGGGATAGTGTGTAAACTGCCGCTCGAACCGGTTCTCACAAGCGATGACCTCGTTCATAAGTGCCTTAATAATCAAAAGACTTGACCACGACTTGACTCCACCACCATCTGACACTCATGTTAGCGATAGCTCTGGAGACACTGGCTGAAGTACAAACCGAGGGTGAGTAGGCATTCTCCTGTTCCACCCTCCACTGATCTCGACCATTTGGTCCCCGATTTGTCTGCTTGAGATAGTGTATCGTTGTACCCTGGACGGAAAGATGCGCCATCGTTGGATTCCTCCTCTCTCTGGGTCTCAGTGAAGGGTTCCTCGCTGCTGAGGAATGAACGGACTGATGCGACATCGTTGTGTTCTTCGTCTCGAGTAGTCTTACTGATAAGTAACCCGTTGAACACTGAACGCAGTGATGAGCCATCGTTGATTCCCCCGCCCCCCTCAGTCTCAGTGACGGCGATATTGTAAGCTTCAGATAGACGTAATGTTCGAGCTGTAAATTCAGATGGCGATATTTTGGATTTGGCTCCTTCCACGACCCAAGGCTCTGTATTCTCCAGGAAGGTATCCTCCAATACGGCTACAATGAGGTGACGGTTGTTTCTGACGAACTCTGTCGTAAAGCCTGCTGCTCGTAGAGATCTCTCTATTTCTAGCCAGACCTGTTGTTCGCCATCTGCAATTTGTGGAGCCGTAGCAAAGCTGCGAATAGATGGAGCCGTGACAAAGCTACCAATGGATGAAGTCGTGACGAAGCTACGAATGGATGGAGCTTCAGGGAAGCTGCGAATGGATGGTGCCGTAACAAAGCTGTGAATGGAAAAAGCTTTGTCTGTATTTTGAAGGCTATTCATCAGCTGATTGAGGGTCTCCTTGATGGTCTCGTAGTCCTTTTGGGTCTTGCGGTTGCTGACGACATTGAGATGTGATTGCAGACTTGTGAGCCTCGACCGCAAATCCAGAACATTTTCGCCGAAAGATGGAGAAAGCTCGTATCCCCTAAATTCACCTTGCTCTAGGGACTCTACCAGTAGTTTGAGCTCTCCCAGTATTGAACCGCATTCTTCTGAAACTCTTCCAAAGTGTAGGTCGCTGGAAAACACGCTGGTGTCGAGCGTATTCGCATAGTCTTCAGTGTATTTCGCAAATACACTCAAAGCCTCTAGACTACCGAGAAGTTTATGGGAGTTGTTTGCTTTGTTGCAACGACTGCTCAAATGTTCAGCGACCTGCCGTATTTCGGTGATCTGGTTGATGGTAATGTCTCTGCCTGCCGTAATGTCGCCTTGGAAGACGGCGCCACCCCCACTATCCACGGTTCGGTCCGGCGGGTCCATTCGTGCGCAAGGAGCTTGGCTGAGGTCTTGCAACCATCCGGAAAATTATTTAGAGGCTGGCGGCGACATGCGATCCATGAACCGGTCTTGATAACGTTTGGGATGGAGGTGTTCTTCTGGGTGTCCTCACAAGGTGGGGTCAGGCTGACTGCGTATCGCACACCTTGCAGCAGGCTTGGTCAGCTCACCTGCAGCTGCGGCTGAGACAAGGCAGATGGCAGCCCGATGTCTGCCTGCTTGACACACTCGTCAGAGGCTGTCGCGCATAGCTTCAGAAGCTGTGGAGATACTAGAAATGGGCATGTTCCGCCGTTTGAAGACGAGCGGGAGGAAAAAGAATGGGTCAGAAAACGACAAGCATACTGAGCAGCCAGCCGAAGAGTTGCTCTCCACGGCAGGCGCATACGGACTCAAAACGGTAGCGGAAAGCGCGACTGACACCGTAGAGTAGGCACCCAGCCTCACCACCAGAACACATCTAACCCCTACCTTAGTGTTGTATTCGTCCACGGCCTCACTGGTAACCGCGAAACCACGTGGACGTACAAGAAGACGATTTTCTGGCCAAAAGACCTCCTGGCGAATGACCTCGAAAACGTGCGCATCTTCACCTTTGGGTACGACGCAGATGTGGTCAAACTCCTTAACATCGCGGGCGGAAACACTGTACGCGATCACGGGAAGTCTCTCGCTCAAGACCTCTCCTTGCGAAGAGCAGAAACGAACACAGTACACACCTACCTTCCCAACACCATTCCACCAAATAACCATCGTAGACCTCCCGCCCAGTAATCTTCGTAGCCCACAGCCTCGGCGGCCTCGTCGTCGAGCAAGCCCTCCTAATCTCGCGCGGCACCTCCCAACTGCACGTAAAATCACTCCTCACCTCCACCTTCGGCATCGCCTTCATGGGAACCCCCCACCTCGGCTCACGAAAAGCAGACTGGGCCGCTCCACTAATCCGCCTATCCTCGCTCCTCCGAAAGACCAACAGAGAGATCGTCGCAGTCCTAGAACCTGGATCAGAAATGCTATCAACCCTGCAACAAGAGTTTCACACCATGCTCGAGGATAGAAGAAGGAATGAGGGGAAATGGATCGAAATATTTTGTTTCTACGAAGAACTGAGTTATAGCGGGATTGGGGATATTGTGCCGCGTCAATCGGCGATTTTGCCGGAGTATCCGAATGCTAGTATCCATCAAAACCACTCTGATATGACAAAGTTTAGTGGGGAGGCGGATCCGGGGTATGTGAGAGTACGGGGACAGCTGTGGTTGTGGGTCGATGCAATCAACAAAAGAGAGCTTAGTGCCACTGCGACAATTCCAGTCCAAACTGATTCCGACGAACGGACACTTGTCTCGCGTTCGGACAGATCAGAGCACGCATCTAATGTACCCGATGGCAAAGAAGTATCTGAGTTGGAAGGCTCGGGAGAGAGGCAAGCAGCGCGGACGGGGGATGGGGTACAGGAAATTGGGGGTAGTCGGACTGGCGCTGTTTTATCCGGAGGCGGCCCAATCTTCATGGGCAATATCAGTGCTGGGCGTGATCTTAGTTACACTCAACGCTCTTCCTAAGAGACAAACCTTGCCTCATCAGTATATAGCAGTCGGGTTTATTGAACGTAAGACCTCCTCTCCGTCTCTCGCAACACCAGCGAGACCAGCAATACCAAGCCCCATCTTTGAACAAGGAAGATCAAGAACTCAAGTTAAAGTCTACGAGCTACCTGACCACCAGTATAATCTGTCAAAACCACATGCCTCGAGACCAACGCATCACCTAAATGTTACCTCAAAAGCACTGGCAGCCCCCTACTTCATCGTGGGTACAAGTCCGACGTAGTGATCATTGTCACAGTGTATGGCACCGAGAAGGAATCTAGTCCATAAGCAATAAACTCTTGTATGCGGCCAACAAAAAATCTGATGTAGACCCGAAAACAAAGTTTATGATGGACAGCGAAGATGAATCGATTTACGTCTAATCGAACCAATCTACTTCTTCTTCTCCTCTTCTTCGTCTTCATCATCATCATCATCCTCTTCCTCGTCACTATCCTCTTCATCCTCGTCGTCGTCCTCATCGTCATCATCTTCCGCATCCGATACCTCCTCTCCAAGAGCCTTAAGCCGTTCCTACAATCATTAGCCCCATCTCTCATCGACTCTTTACCAAAGTGTAAACGACATACCTTGTCTCTCGTCCTCTTCTCCTCAAGATCAGCCAGCACCATAATGAGGTCCTCAAGCTCCGTCGCCTTCTCCTTCTCTGCTTCTTCCGCTTTACGCAGTTTCTCTTTGAGGTCTTTAAGTTCCTTTTCACTTGCGCCTCCAGCCTTACCCTTCTGGGAGTTCGACTTTGCGGCAGCCGCTGCAGCTTCAGCTTTACGCAATTTCTCCTCCGCCTCTTTGACCTTCCAAGTTGAATCTTGAGCCTTGGTTTTGAGATCCTGGTTTTCGGCTTTGAGTTTATCGATGGTGGATTGGAGAGCTTCCTTTTCAGACTTGGATTGCTTGAGCTGGGTTTCGAGTGTGGATTTGGACTGCTCTGTCTCTTCTCTGAGTTGTTTGAGTTGAGTCTCTTTCTCTTCTTCGAGTTCTCTGAGCTGCGTCTCTTTCTCCTCTGTAAGGATCTGAAGCTGTGCTTCGCTGTTCTGTACATGCAATTGTGCGTTGCGGAGGGTTTCGGTGATGGTGGCGACTTCGGTGCGGGTTTGTATGAGTGTGTGTTCGAGGTTGCGGATGTTCTCGATGGCTTCTTGGCGGGCCTTCTCTGAGGCGCCCAATCGACGCTCTAATTCGGTGCGTGTTCTATGTGCGTCGTGGAGCTGCTCGTCGTACTCTTGCCTGACCTTTGCGATGGCGAGGTTGGC